GGCACCTTCCCAGAAAACTGGAAATTTGCTCATGTCCAACCCATCCCAAAAAAGGATATATAACACCGACCCTTACAATTACAGGCCTATAGCTCTGCTTTCTTTTATAAGTAAGGTGATGGAGAGGTGCATAAATCGCGAGCTTCTGGACTACCTCGAGTGTCATGGCTTGATTAGCGACAGGCAGTATGGTTTCCGGCACCAGCGATCCACAGGGGACCTCCTAGCTTACGTCACGCAATTGTGGAGTAAACTCATTCAGTCTTATGGTGAGGCTCATGTCATTGCTCTTGATATCACGAAAGCGTTTGATCAGCTTATGCCACGCTGCCCTCTTATGCAAACTTCCATCGTATGGCCTCCTCGGCTCCTCGGCAGTCTCGGAACCCTTTCGCACCGGCGGGCTATCGGCGATCTAGCTCTCTCCTACCGCTACACCAACGGACTTTGCTCCTCAAAGCTCTCGAACTTCGTACATCCAGAACTGGCCGATACGACCGCTCCTTTGTCCCGAGGGTGTCGAGATTGTAGAACAATCTACAAGAGGCAGTTTTTTTTCCAGTTCTACTAACCTTACGCAAGTCAAAAATCAGATTAACAAAATTTCTTTGGGATCTTCATAGCAGCCGCGGTGTCCCGGCATTTCATTTCGGCTTCTGCCGTGCGCGGCTGCTTTGGTATATATAAGAAAAGACGGTATTGTTGAATATGGACATGGGAAAATAAACCTTTCTAGAAAACTAATTCAAACATTAACATTTTCTTTACAGTGGTTGATAAAACCTATTTAAAGCAAAACTAGCATTAAACATATGTACATGACAATGAACATTATTTCGTGGAAGTTTAAAATATTTGATACAGTAAATAATCAAAAATTTTAATACTCCTAAATATTGCTCTACGCTATTTCTGGTAAGGCAATGCATTTAGTATAATCTTCTTCTGAAGTGCTAGGTTCATCAATTATAACAGGCATTAGAAGCCAGGATCTTAATGGATGTCCGCAGTCATCTGTAAAAATATATCTTTCATTATTACTCATCTGCAAGCAGGTATATAACAATAATTACAACTAAAGTCAAAAAATGGAGTAAATGGATTGTATGCTGGCCAAAATATGTGGAATATTAAAACTCAGATTTGTTGCTTTATTATTAATCTTGCAGATAATGAATCTGAGATCTTATGATTGATGAATATTATTACTTTTGTTAATAGGAAATTTCATCTTCCATAGGGATGAAATTTCATCAGGTAATGTAAACATTCATGTTTAAAAAGTTTTTGATGCAGCTGAACTCATTAGTTTCTCAATTAACCATAAAATTTTGATGTGTAATCTTATTTTCTTAATATGCATGGCGATATAGTTACTATACTCTCTTGTGGTGTTTGAGCAAAACAAATATGTGTCGATAGAATGTCTGGATGATTCAATGCATAAACCACTTCCCTTGGTGCTTTGGATACAATGGGTTGACTGAGCCCATCTAAGCAGCCCATGCCAATATGTTTCTGATAGGAACCAGCATCAAAGGTGCTGTTAATACCTAAAATCAATATATTCCCAAACTGTGGTAGGAAGGTGCAAGTAAGCTTATTTGGTAATCATTATGAACTTCAACTCATACATACTAAGAAATACGCCACAGGCGAGCAGTTTGTCGTCTTTGAAAGTGCATTTATTCACTTTCACAAAAAAATACTGAAAATACAAAATGAGAGTATGAAATAACTTCTTAGCCTCGTCAAGGTAATAATTATATTTCTTATTTAAACTTGTTATACTTACCTTTCTTGTTAAAAAAATGAAAAATTTTAACAAATTTGTCAAAAAACGCTAGCAGCCGATTGGCGACCGACTAGATGACTATACCACTGAGCAGTTGTTAAATTGACAGTTCAAATCGCTAGTCGGTCGTTGTCAATAAGTTAGGTAATACCAATTTTTTGATACTCCTTGTTGAAAAATATCAAAAAATAATGTATAGCACGCCACCTATCTTATATCAGTGAAACCTGTCTTATATGTATTGCTACCTTGATCTCTAAAATAAACTCAGTCGACATCCACAAACAATAGCATTGATATTTCGCCCTGTCCCGTAACACTCCTAACCAAAGAATGCACTTTTTGTTCACCAGTTGCTCCAAAGAGGCACCACCGTAGCTGATCGCTGATTGAGACGCGCTGACTGATACATATTACGAAATTTGCGTTTTTTCAGCAACTATCGACTGATTTGGGTTGGTTAGAAGTTAGGTAATAAGCCTGCAGAAGTACTTTAAATTTCAAAACCTTCTAAGCGACATTTTGTTAGTTACTTAAATAGGCAACTATGTACCCATTTAAGCTACTTCCTACCTCTTACCGTTTCCGAGATGCCAATGTGTGGGTCGAATTTGAAACACCCGGTATATCAAGACCCAAAACCCAAAACATTAATTTAGAAATAGGTCAAATGGCATAAAAGTCATAAGGCTCAATACGTCCCTGTGCACACCGATTTCCAAACTAACCAAATCATAAATTCTAAATACGAGACACGTGCTGCCCTCTATCGATTCTACAAAACACTAGTAGGCTAAATTTAAATGAAGTTGATTGTTTTTGAAATAGGAAATAGGAATAATTAGAATGCACCTAAGTATGCATAATATAAAAATAAACAGCAATGACTGGGGACCGAACATGATTATAAGTAGCTATGACGAAAAAATTGTACAAGAGCATTGCAACCAACTGGGTGGGAAGATATAATAAAGATTTCAGCCTACTCACCTTTAAAATTTGGCATCTGTTTCTTCTTCCGTTGATCCATGGTGCCTCTTCGTAAAAATACATTTACGTAATGGCCCTAATTTCTTAATACTATCAGTATTACAACTGTAACTAGATTTTCTTAAAGCTAAACAAATGAATCTAAACCTATTACTTAACCTCTACCGATTGACATTTAGAAAAACAGATGAATTTACAATCTAAACATGTTTACGAATAGTTTAAAAGAGGCCAGAAACATCGAAGATTGTAATAAAATAGTATTTAGTTAAAATAATTCAAAGGCAGTAGTAAAAACGATCGAGTAAATATCATGACAATTTAAATGTCAGAAAACGCGGATGCTGCCAAAATAAACGAGCGATTTGGCAGGGAGATAAATATCGCCCAGTACACTTACACAATAAACCACCCACAAATCCGAATAAATATTTACAGATATTCAAGAAAACTATCATTTAAACGCGAATGTTTTCATTTAGAGCGATAGAAACTGTCGACCGTACGCCATGTTTTCGCTACCGGCCTGCTACGCATGCCCGCATGCGCCCCACAACGTCAAGTACCAACATCAAACTAACCTGGATAATTCGTGGTTGCCTACTGCTGACGTATTTACCTATTCAACAGAATTTTGGTAAACGAACAGGTGGAATAATTTTGAAGAGTTATAAATCATCTTTCTTAAAAAAATAAAAGTGGGCTTGTCCGATCTGAAGCCTCCTTATTGCCTTGTATAGTCGTTAACTTCAAGGATCTCTTCTTTCATTGACTTCTTCAATGGACGGAGGAGCCTACGCGCTTATTGTTCTTATATCTGTATAAAACATATTCCACATATTATCAAGATTCAAATTAAAAATTGATAAGTAAGGATAGGTTTTGCATAAAGACCTTCTTTAATAAGTGAATACTGTCAGGTTACTCCTAAATAGAAAAGCAAATAAGGATGCCTCAAGTGGTGGCGTGCTGTGAATTCAACCTAAAATTTGCTTGAATATAGCAATAAGCCAATAAGTGAAATTAATGAAAACGGCAACGTTGGATAACAAAACGCGGTAAACTTCTTCAACAACAAAGTGCCTGCGGCGCAATTTTTAAATTTTGCTTTTTCTGGCATACTCTTGGTTCGCTGTGACTGGTTTGCTAAAACGAGACAGCAAACTATATTAGATTCAACAAGCTTTCCCAACTGTTTCATTAGAAGAATTATGAATTGAGCTTCAGCCTTAAAAATATTGATGTAGGTATGCCATATCACGAGTGTTGTAACAAGAATAAAAGGATTTACATGCATGCAATCATAATTATTTTATCATAGCTAGAAAATGGAACTCCATTTTTAGTTGAAGAACATCTCATAATAGAGGGGTAGAGATTTCTATATCTAATAGCAGTTGGAATAATGTAACTATAGAACATGCCCAGGAATGACAAAAGCTTCTAGAAACAAAGGAGGATACCTATAGTAAAATAAAGATGAGAATTCCTAGAATATAAAGTCTTTTAACGATTCAAGAGATTAAAATCATACTTAATCGTTTTATATTTTGTTTTTGTGACTACAATAAAGTTGCTGATATTGTGGTAATAAGAAAAGGAAAAGTTTTATAGCTTTCTGCTCAATCGATTTTCGTCAATCCAACCCCAGAACACCCAAACTCTCATGTGTGGACCTTGCAAAATGACACTGTACCAAATTAAACTGTTGTCATATATTTTTTTGACTCTCTCTCAGGTCTCCTCTACTATTTTAATGACAATTAAATGTTTGGGAAACTCATGAATTTTCAGGGATCATATCATATTATATCAATATGGTGTGGGAAATTAGGACAAACACACATTTCAAAACACCCGCCGGACCGTCCACAAGTTGTCATTGTGTTCTTGAATTGCGTTTCATAGATGGCGCTGGTGTGAGGAAAAGCCGATAAATTTTTTTAGGTGTATTTTTTAATTCACCGGTTGAGCCACCGGTACAACCAATTATCCAATTTTACTTCCATTAATTTCCGTCTGAGCGACCGGTTGTACACCAAAATTGTCTATAAACTATATAGACAAGTTTTGTGCGATAATCCATGAAGTCAACTCATATGGGACAATGAGAAACAATACGGTGCTGCCGAGTACAACCTGACAACACTGTTGGCATCCAGAAAAAATGGCGGCTTTGACAACTATGATGGTTAATTGCTGTCTTTTTCAGTGTTGTATATGTTTTGTGGTCTATATGTTTTATGCGATAAACTACGGCATTAGACGCGGTTTTTCATAATTTTTTGTAATTTCCTATCTTTAATAACTTCAAAATGAAGCTAGTCAGGTATGTTCCAGCTCAAAACATTACCTCTATAAATTACATTACTTATTTAATTAATTAATTAATGTTCTTGCCGGAATCAAGCATAAACGATACCTAACCTCAACCAACTTTTTCTTAGATTTTTGATGAAATTGAGCCACGAAACTGTGACAATGGAGCTGAAAAATGGTACCCAGGTGCACGGCACGATTACAGGCGTTGATGTAGCCATGAATACCCATCTGAAGGCTGTTAAAGTTACGGTGAAAAATCGAAATCCAGTCACTCTAGATACACTCACTGTTAGAGGTAACTCATTATCACCAAAACTGCTTTTCAGTAAAATTTTTGTCTTTAATGAACTAATTCTATTTTAGGTAACAATATCAGATACTATATCTTACCAGACAGCTTACCTCTAGAGACTTTGCTTATTGATGATACTCCAAAAGCTAAGGCAAAGAAAAAAGAATCTGCCAGGGGAGCAACTAGAGGTAGAGGTAGAGGAAGGGGTAGAGGAGGGCCTAGAGGAAGAGGTAGAGGCAGAGGAAGAAGATAAATTGAAAGTGAAAAAGATGCAGCGATTGATTAGATTTAAGTTACACTGATTTTGTGCGATTGAACATATACTCTATTTCATAAGTATCATCACAGCTGGTTATCTAGTAATATTTCAAATTTCCCGATATCGGCAAATGACCCATAATTCTGATGGATCCATCAATCCCAGAAAGACAGAGCCATATTTTGTTGTTGTTTGTAAAGTCTTTTATTTAGAGTAGTTCATTTGCATGCAAAAAACAAAACGCTTCAAACAATTTTTTGCTAGATTTACACCCCATTCATTATAGCCTATGTTAGAGACTAACACAAAAATGTCACTAGCTGATCAGCTGTTCACCTCAATAGACATCAAAACATGATGGATACTCATGAAATAGGGTGTAAAAAGTCTGATTTTTATTGACTTCAGTATTTAGTACATGATAGTCTACTTTTCCTTCTTATAATCCTGTTAGTCTATATTTAATACAGTAATTCCTGCAGTGTTGTTAAATCCCAAAACCAAATTTAATCAGCATTTTGTATAAAAAATAATTGAAATTGACATTTGTAGATATGATCATAATTATAAATTCTTTCAAATCTGATCAAATAATATTGTAACATAAGACACTTTATTATGAAAGAGAAAAACTTGCATGATCTACTAATTTCCTGGAGTAGATGTTAATTTATATCAGGGTAGGCGAACCTTTATGCATCAACGTGCCATTTTTTTAAAGAAATGTTTAATGATGTCATAGACTAATAATTTTGACTTAGGAAAATTGGGAAAATAATAAAAATAAATATTATCAATTCTTTATTTGCTATAAAAAATATAAATTTTGCGATGTTTCAATTAAATTCGTAATTTCAGTTAAAGTAAAATTAGTGTGACTTCTGTTGTTGCAGATTAGATGATGAATAATTTATATCAGGGTTGTAAGATGTTACTTTTAGCAGAATGCATGCTGAACTGCATTCGTCTGTTAATGGTTTCTAACCGAGTCTTTAATATTGTTCATTTCTGAAAATAATGACTCGCAAGCATATGTAGACGAAAATATCGTTAATATAGTATGAGCCAGCTTCTTCAAACAGTTAAATGTGTTCGGTAATGCATTCCACGTTTCCAAAATTTTGTTTACTAGCATTTTCACTTATATCACTTGTCAATCTTTCTGTTTCTATTAGTTCTAACTTTATCCTTGTTTCAATATATTTTTGAATCCATATTGGACTGGAAATCAATCAGATGTATTTCGAATTCTTCGATTTCCAACCAATCGAATTGGGACAAGTTCAATTTATTAAATGACGTCACGTCAGGGAACATAATAAACTTGCTTATTACCGATAATCGCTTTAACTGCGTAAATCCCGCTGAAAATTCCTTGATTGAATAATCAATCAAATACATAAATTCTTCAGTAACTCTTTCTTTGTCTGGTGTCTTGTGTATATCTAAATCGTTCATATATTTTTTCAGCTTTGGAAAATACTTGTAAATTCTTGTGATAATATCGTTCCTGAAAACTTGAACTTTAGCCTCAAAAGCGCGCATCAGATCTACCATAACAATAATTGTTTTGGTTTGCCTTCAAGCTTCACGTTTAGCGTATTTAAATGTTGGCATATGTCTGTAAAAGACATCAATTTTGAAAACCACACAACAGCGAACAATTGTGGGTATTGTTCAATTCTCCTCTCATTTTGAAAAAAACAGTCTGATTTCGTCCAAGCAATTAACAAATCTTTCAATTTCGTTTCCGCGGCTAAACCAGCGAACATTATTATACTAAGCCATTGTACACTGAGTTGACTTCATCCACCAAAGCATCGACTTTCGCTTGTTTAAAAGCCTGTGACGAGATGTGGTTGACTATTTTTGAAACTCCGCTAGTATGTTATCAAGAGATGTTAAACCACTCTTAGCACACAAGGCTTGTTGGTGAATGATGGCTCACGACGTTTTAAAAAACCTCTACCTACTTGCGTTCGCTCGTCATAAAATAAATACCTACCTAGTTTACACTTTTTCTCTTAATGCACAATGATTTAGTGACTGGTGATATGCCCAAACTATTGTGTTGCGTGCCATCAATGGCACGCGTGCCTTTGGTTCGCCATCCCTGCTTTATATGAATATTTTTTGTACTAAAATACAATCTGTAGATGTTCTTGGATATTGGAAAAAAATGAAAAAAACTTTTTTTTATTAAAAAATGCTCTTGATTTAGAGAACCACCCAAATTCAACAGCTAAATTAAGACAGATACACTACCTTCCAAATGTAGCTACCTGTATAAAAAAAATTTAATGGCTTGTACAATCTAGAAGTTTGCACTTGTAAATTGTCTTTGCTTAAGATATTCTTTTAGATGTAGATGTTTTAGTTATACACATTACAGTTTACTTAAAAATACAGTGATTTTGCCAAAGATAGGGAAAACAAATTGTTAATATTTTAATTTATTTACAAAAGTATAAAATTAATACTGATCATAACTAGAACTGATCCCCTTTCACCAAAATATAGAGCATGTACACAGCAAATATAATGAAAACTAAGCAAACAACAAAAACAAAGGTGGCTCTGTTGTGAGTCCTCAAGTGTGCCAATTGATCTTCATGGGTCTTTAGCAGTTTTCTGACCTCTTCAACTTCTTGTTGTAGTAGTTTCTGTTTGTTTTCTGACAGATTTTCTGTCTTGAGTTTATGCTCTATAGTCTCTAATCTGCAATATGTAGATTTCAATGCTGCTTCAGTAGCTGCAATCTTTAGACATATAAAGTATTTTGAATTAAAATAAAGGTACAAGAGTCCTACCTCATTTAATATAGAATTTCCTTGATCTGAATTCATAGTTGATAAGTTTTTACAATGCTATCATTAATTCAAAATGTATTTTTTTAATACACGGGTTACAAGTTGACGTAATAGGTTAGTGTTTGTTTTGTAATTCATGTGTATTAAGTGTTGCCTACATTCATATTTCTCTTTTGTTGCACATGAATGTTAGCGCCAAAAAACCGAATCTAAATTGCTAGGCATATTAAAAGTCTCCCATCTCTACCACAGACTACTCTGTCTGTGAAAGTCAACGTCAATATTGATAGTGACGTTTATTTGTTGTGGAAAAGAAATTTTTTTCATTTAATTATCCCCTAAAATTTACATTTTATGTGGATATTTGTATATTACTGAATCATGGTAATACTAAAACCAATTTGGCATACAAAATTCCAATGTAATATGAGTCGTTTTAGAGTGAAAACCACGAAGGATTTTGCGTGAAAAGCTTCAAATATAGAATACCAGAAACAAACGTACCCCCAACAGAGGACTTTGACTTTGCAGAAGCTCTAGAGTCAGTATACCCGCTTTTAGAAACTGTATTCAGTTATCTTAACTATCAGGAGCTGAAAATATGCTGCCAAGTGAAGAAATCTTGGGAAGAAGTGGCAGAGAAACTGTGTTGAGCAGAAGGACTACACCAAGTTGGTTTACATGTTATAAAGTGAGAGGGCGACGAAAAAATAAAGGACATGTGTTTAAGCACAGTACAAATTTAAACAATAGCAATGTTGGAACAGCCATTATATTGTATGATTACTGTATGATCAAGCTTCATGAATATATTTGCCTTCATACAGACAACTTTGACCTTTCCAGAAAAACTGGTAATGGTTTGTATGGTGGAAAATATATAGAATATTTGATGAATTTTTTCGTAGTTCCTGAGTATTTAGAAGAAGAAATAATACCTCAAAACACAGACTACTGTGTCTTATCTTGTGCAAAGGTAGTTTCATGCTTTGAAGCACCAAAGGAACAGAGAAGTTCTCCAAGTTGTGACATCATTGTTGGATTAATCATTCCCAAAATTCCTAATGTCCGAACTGCCATGTTTCATTACAAAGTGAATAAGAAAGATGCTACAGAAATTGGGCAATATGTTAGAGAAAATGATCAAGTAAAATGCCTTCTCATGTTCTCTACAAGAAACTTGAACAAAAGTGCATATAATGGACTGTTGACTATCTTGATACCAGAGTAGGTAACCATGAGAATCAGTATTAACTTTGAATAGGTTATGGGCTCGGAATGCATTCACTATATTAAGTGTTTCTTGTAACTTGATACAAAATTTGAAAAATTTAATATGTAAGAGTGGATTATCAAGATTATTTTTTTTCAGATGTTTTGCTCAGATGGTAGCGGTAGGGGGAGGTATAATAATGGGCACAAAAACTTCCAACACGTCAAACCAACTAAAAGAGTGTACTCCAGTAGTGACATATTTTGCATAGCTTTATTCAGGACAGATCAATTGCTGCAAATTTTAATGCCTATTCTTATGTTATACTTGGAGATGATCTCACAAAGGAAGACTTTACCAAAGAATTGCAGAAGGTGGAGATTTATTTATAATTATTTTCATCCAAATTTTGAGCCCTGTATGTTTTAATAATAATCTTGCTTCATTTTATTCTAGTTCAGAAGTAACATTAAACTCAGGGAGAAAAGTGTAGCATTCAGAATTTGTTGCTCTGCAAAAGTAGGAGCAGAAGAAGAGACTGCTCTTGTCAATAAAGTATTTCCAAATATACCAGTTTTGGGATTTAATGCAGGTGGTGAACTAGGTTGGAACTGCTTTTCTAACACCATGAAAGATGGTGAGAGTTCACACAAATTATTAATATTATAAAATACAATGTGATTTAAATCGTTTAAGTTTTAGGTGGTGAGGATGGTATTCATCCGAAGAAAAGAATAAAACAGAAATATCCATCAGTCTATCAGCAGTGGTCAACAGTGCTTGTGATATTGACTTGGTCATAAATGTTACAACACAGTATTAATTCCTTAGTTGTATGTATGTTATATTCTTTTATATATTTATGTTTGCTGATATTTATTTGTTCATGTATCTCTATGTATTTTGGTGAAAGTATTTTATTTTGGTTATTTTACTAAACATCAATTTTTAAAAACTGTCTCTGCCATTTAAAAATTGAGAATGCAGCACCTTGACCGTCAAATAAAATCATATAGAACGGACGATGATTTGCTTTCAACAAATATGGTGAGAACCAAATTTTGCTGACGGGCGCGAGTTCAATGTGTACGAGAGAGCAGCAGGAGAAGTGTTCTAGGCACATATTGTGTTAGAAAAAATAGAAGCCCGATGGATAGCGAAGCTCATCGCCACGTTGTCTAGCAACGATGACGCAGAGATCGTGCAATCTGCTACTCTGTAACAATTTAGCGTTCGTAATTTATTGTTTGACGTACATGTTACTTGCGATCGGAAATAGAACAGCATAATCCTTCTGAAACGTCAAAGTGTGCTTTTCTTCCCGAGCTCAAACCTTGGAATAAGAGTTCTGTCACTTGTCATTCTCATGGTCATTGTTTGTTTATTTCATTTGGTTTCAGAAACTGCTCAAAATGGCAGGATATATATATATATATATGAACTTATTATAAGAGACCCTAGGGATATGGGGTAGCATTTATATATATATATATATTTCATGATAAATGCTACCCGATATCCCTACGGTCTCTTATAATAATTTCAATGGTGCCAAAACGTGGTTAGAAATTAGGTGGTTGACATCAAGCGTCATTACATGACTGTAATAATTTAGGTGTTCTAAGTTTCACAGTATTCCAGAGTAAAACTTCATCTGACAATCTACATGCCATTACTATGTAGGGTATTACATTTCCAAGTGATTTACAAACGCACACCTTGGTCTTATCGGTACCTGCTGATTCTAATATGTACTGATAGCTTTAATTCGTCATATCGGCAGCATGGAATCTTCAGAAACTTGCCCGGCAAGTCGAATCATGTTATTAAAAATTGGTGATAATAAGACATTGAAACGCGTTACCAACTAGGCTGTTTTGCCAATCACACTCAAAAAACCTTACTAGTATACCGGGAGTATCAAATTTGACCTTCACCATTGGTATCTTGGAAACAGAAGAGATACGAAGTCACTTAAATGATGGAAAAGCTGCGTATACAGGGTGTCCAATAAGTACCACGACAAACTTAAGGAGAAGGTAGGCTTTGGACTTACCTCAAAAATAACAAAAACTTACCTATATAAAGTGACACCGTTTTTGAGATATTGAATTTTTTCTTAAATTTTAAAAACGAACCGTTTCATCTGTGGTCTTTAGCTGCATGTACAAATAAGGTTGTACTTTGTCCATTTTTTCTATAAAATATTTCTATAGTTGCTTTATCATATACAAATACAATGTAATTAAAAGATATTAAGGAACCATGATCAAATAAGGACTATTTCCTTCTTATTTTTCCTCAACTTTGACCATCTGTGGTAAAACAAAAATGTACTGAGCTAGAACTGCATTTACGAATAAAAGATTGCTCATTGAATACAGATTTCAGAACGGCGAAAAACGTACTATTTGGAATAGAAAATAGTGATATTTTAAGTGTCTGACACACACTACAATGTAATTATTGGATTTAAATTTAAGTTACCGACCAATGACATGCTAAATAATCTTTTTATTCAATTTAATGCAATTATTGCCCAGTACATTTTTGTTTCACCACAGATGGTCAAAGTTGAGGAAAAAATATCAGAAGGTTATACATCCCAAAATAGTCCTTATTTGATCATGGTATTTATTATCTCAAAAACGGTGACACTTTTATATAGGTAAGTTTTTGTTATTTGGGTAGGCCAGTCCAAAACCACCTGCTCCTTAAGTTTGTCGAGGTACTTATTAGACACCCTGTATATATATATATATATATATGGATATAAAATATAATGATAAAAGCTATTAGAATATACAAGGTGTTAACATTTTTTTTTTTAATTTTAAAAACCGACATCTAAAAAAACAGAAATATAAAAGTTTTACCAAGCCAACTGTTTACTAATTTGTTAAAACATCTCTACTTTTTTAAATGATAGACAATGAAACAGTAATGAACTTTATCAATAGAAAAACAATAGATAAGTCAAACATTTATATTATATATAATAAAATCGGTAACAGGTGTTTTTTTTACAATATCAACATGACACACTAAATGTAAGTGTAGCGTAGCGGGACATACCTGCTATTTAATACTAGATGAAATAGTTGATGAAACTGATGGTCATCTAATGATCTCAATACTGATGTACATAGCTTTGATATACATCCATAATTAAATTATGAATTATCATAAAAGTCACGTGATATATCAAATCGTATAGTATTAAAATTGGATTTAAACAATTGAGATACATGTTGTATAAAGTGTGGAGAAAGTAGAACTTTCTAATATTCTTGTCTCGACAAGGCTCATAAACATTTTCCTCATGCTCATGCTTGGGTCGTACATGTGACATGCATTATAGGAAATTGGTTATGCTGATCCACTTATCACTTAAATGGGCAAAGGCAAGGATCATAAGATAGAAGGAATGCGCATACAGGCAGGCCTATCACGTGAAGTACTTTTCTGCTTAGTTTTCGATGTCTACAGGCAGTAAAGCTTGCTATGTAATAAAAAGATTCACCACAATTCAAGCATCAGGCATTGACACAATGGGTCTCATAATGGTTGACCGATGGATTTGATTATGTCCCATGTGAAAAAAGAATATTAGGAAGTTTTGGAGTTTAAATTACAAATATTCCATAGTAGGTATTCATGTAAAGTCAAGGTCTCCTACTAAATGTCAATTTTGTTTTTGTCTATCCATATACATACCTACTTCCTACGATGCGTGTGAAGCTAGCTACAAAAGCTAGATTCCAGCGGACCGAATAAATGTCGGCCTGCGATGCGCTCTGGCGTTACTCCCGTGACGTGCATACGAGGTGATTATATTTATGCCTATGAGTCTTATGCTATTGCGGTATTGCATTAAATGGTTCTGCAGAGCTCATAGGTTCATATCTAAAGCTATTCGTAGACCTCAACTGATAACAAACGAGCCTCTGAAATCTAGGAAAAAAATGTTTTCGTGGAAAGTTAAGGAGGTGCGTTGATGTGCTTTCAGGGATGGCTTATTTATTCTGAATTTACTACAAAGAAAGGTATCTACTTTTTGGTAACTGATGATAATAGCTCTTGTTGTATACCTTAAACCCTGAAAAGCACATTAACGCACCTCTTCAACTTTTCAGGAAAAAAGAATTTTCCTAGATTTCAGAAAGTAGCGCGCATCTTACACGACAGGCTTCTTTGTTCTGAGTTGAGGTGTACGCATAGCTTTAGTTGCGAACCTAAGAACTCTGCAGAACCATTTAATGCTATACCGCAATAACATAAGACTCATATGCATACATATAATTACAGGGCCG